TGAGTTCAGCATATGTACCCAAATTTTATTCACACAAACTTTGGGAGAAGGTACCACTCAGTGTCATAAGCCTGGATGCAATATCTAAGTAGAACAGACAAATTACATGTCTCTTCCATAGATGTCATGGGATGCTCTTCAGAGCACAGAACACATGACAGTTAACAACACCTTCACTAGTTCAGACATGAAAAATAATCGATGGGAAAAAGAACTGTCTTTAACATCTAATAATATTTCTTACTGATCTTTCTCACATTTGTCATCCTTTTATTGTGAGTTAATTTTTTAGGTGTTACTTAGAAGTACCTGACCATTTTATAAAAACATATTTTATGTAGAAGAACAGCATATTTTAGTAATTTGGCTTTATTTAGTTTCCCAATTTTTAAAAATTATGGATAAGGAATCAAGTTTAGGTTTAGCTTTTCTGGATATTAATCATCTAATATAAAATTAAAATATTTGACATATTAAAGAATGTGAAAGACAAAACTATAAGTTTCTTGGAAGAAAATATAGGATAATGGCTTCATATCTGTAGAGTAGGAAAATATCAATAAACTGTAGGTATGAAAATCAAGAAGTTCTGACTAAAGATATCAGACAGTGAAAGACAAACTATAGAGTAGGAGACAACATCTACAACCCACTTGATCAGATAACATACATAATGTACAAACAATTTCTTATGAAACAACACAGAAAAGACAGAAAAAATTTAAAAATGAGTAAGCCTGGAACAGGCACTTTAAAAATGAAGATATTTTAAGAGGTCAATAGTGTATGAAAAGGTGCTCAATCTCATTAGTCACCAGAAAAATATACAAATAACAATGAGGAGATACTACTATACAACTATCAGGTTGGAAAAAAACAACAAATCTAATTGTATTAAGGACTGTAAAGATGTTGAAAAACAAAGACCGAACACTGCTGGAAGTAGTATAGACAAGCAAGATCAACTTTGAAAATCAGGTTAGCGTGATCCAGTAATCAAGTAAGGTATATATCCTATGTATATGTTTACATGCACCAGGATTTATGTATTGATATAAAGATCGCAGCCACATTGCTGTAATAGCCAAAAATTGCAAACAAGTTCAAGTTCTTTCAACAGTAGAAAAAACTGTGCTATAATCTTAAAGTGTACTACACTGCAATGAAAATAAATGACTACAGTATACAGAGCAACACAGAGGACCCTTACAGACTTGAGCAAAAAAGCAGCAAAACTACATACAGAATAATTCTATAAAATTCAGAAACGGGATTACTAAATTAAATTTTTCAAGGAGGTAAACTTATATGGTAAAACTATAAAGAAAAACAAAGAAATGAGTATCATAAAAGTCAGGATAGTAGCTACCTTTGGAAAAAGGGAGGCAGGGACTTCTGGGGCGCTGGCCAGCCCCACCTCTAACATTCACAGGGCCTAGATCTAGGCAAGAGTACAAACTGAGGTCTACAAACCATGTGTCTAAACATTTCAAAGATACGAAATAAGCTAACAAACTATTAAATAAAATATGTTCCATTTTCCTATCATAAGTACTTGGAAAGCTAGATTCACACTGAGAATTCTTGAATTCCTGAGAGTTCTATGTAGGAACATGATTCATGTAAAACTGGCCATTGGCCATCTCTCCCTTTTCCATCCCACAGTGCCAGGAACCTCACACAAAGGGATGCAATCACCTCCACTCCCATGTCCAAGCTCCATGCCATCCCCTACTCCCCACAAACAGATACTCTGAGGCCACCCTTTGAGTCTAGGGGTGTGTATACCAGCAGCCAGTTGACCCTCAGAAGGACAGACCCCAGGGAAGACTCAGACTCTGGAAATAAGCCTGGGGCCACTGGGTCAAGAAATTCTTAGATGTAAGGTACTCACAGTTTGTCTAGGATGGAAGGATTCACGATCTAAGCAAGCATGTCCCACAGACCCTACAGACTCCTTGCCTTAAAAGGGCACTTCAGAAGAGGGCCAAAGCATAGGGCAAGGGCAGGAGTTCTTTTGCCAGGACCAGAATTTCCTTAGAACCAGGCAGTATTATATGTCTTCACCCAGGTAACAGTAACAAAGATACTCACTCTGTAACTATTAAACTGTACACAAAGGTTTTACGTATTTTTTTCCACGAATAATGGAATGGACATCACATCTCTGCTGATATGATACACATTGAGAAAGACACATATGATATTTGAAATACTCCTATCCAAAAATCCATAACCTGAATCTAATCATGAGGATACAATCAGATTCAAACCCAGGGACTTTCTACAAAACAAGACACCTAGGTTCTTCAGAAATATGACATAAAGATTAAAAAGGGGAGGAAGGGATTGCAAAACTATTCCAGACTGAAAGAAACTAAACACAGGGAAAAAAAGGGAAAAAAAGAAACTAAACAGCTGTGAAAACTAAATGGATTACATGATCCTGAATTGGATTCTGGATCACAGAGGGGAAGTGCTATATTATTATATTATATATATATATATTATGTATAATATATATATTATTATATATTATTGGGACAACTGATTAAATATGGACAAAAGACATTAACTTTCTTATTTCAGTAATGGGACTACAGTTATTTAAGAAAATGCCCTTATTCTTAGGAGATACATTCTAAAGTATTTAAGAGTGAAGGGTCACAATGTCTACAACTTATTCTCAAAATGTTTAGCAAAAAAAATACAGTGATCAAGCAAAGGCGAAACAGTAACAACTGATGACTCTAAGGAAGGCAAGTATACACTTTACTTCTGTAACTTATCTTTTAAAATATTTTCAACATTTTAAGTTTTTAAAAACTAAAGGGGTTAAATGAGACAAGAGTCGCCTACAGGGAAAGGAATTAGATAACTGGGAGAAGAGGATATGGTAAAGACTTTTCATTTTGTATACTCTTCCATCTTATTTATATTCAAACTTTGTTCATATTCCCCAAAAAAATTCATTTTAACTTTGGGAGGAAATAACTATAGCACTGAAAAGCGGAGCATTAGCAACTGTAGAAATAAGACAAATTTTGTCCCTAAATCTATCAAATCACAGCCATCACCAACTAGCTGCTCTGTCAAGCAGGTTCACAGAGGCACCACAGCTCGAACACCCCTAGTATCAGCTACCTCCCCTCTCAATCCAGTAGTTTGCACAGTAAGAGGCATAACTTAAGATGAATATTAACATTCTAGCTCCAGAATGACTATAAGTTTATAACATGTCTCATTAATTCAGAAAGTGAAGCACCCAGGGATCAAACCCAGATCTCCCACAGTGCAGGCAGATTCTTTACCTGCACTTTACCGTCTGAGACACCAGAGAAAAGCCCAGGGATACTGGAGTGGGTAGCCTATCCCTTCTCCAGGGGATCTTCCCGACCCAGGAATCAAACAGGGGTCTCCTGCATCGCGGACATTTTTTTACAAGCTGAGCTATCAGGAAAGCCCCAATAAGTTTATCACATATCTCGTTAATTCAGAAAGTGAAGCTCACACAGTTTTCACTTTTGATAATGAGAAATGCATTTAAGAAATGCTGGTGACATTGTACAAAGCCCTGGAGATGCCATGGAGAGATGTGTGTAACATGGTCACTGTCGTCAAGAAGGCAACTTAGCAGAGTGAAGAGGACTTGAACCAAAAGCCCTTGCTATTCCACACAGTAGCTATATGATCTTGGTAAGTTATCTGACCTCTCAGATGCTGTTTTCTCATAGGCATAATGGAGATGCCATCCAACTATCTTTAAGAGTTGTAAGAACTGACTAGGTACATTAAGCATGAACAATAGATACTCAACAAAAGGTAACTATTTTATGAGCATTACAATCTAATTAAAATAATGAAATAGAAAATATGCCCAAGGTTGTACAGCCAATTATAGGCATAACTACCATTGGAATCCTGATTACTCCAAGTTTCTAATCCAAATAAATTAATTCTTCATAAACACCAAATAAATATACACAACTGCTGTTGTGTAGACCAAGAAATGCTCCCTAATATATTTTTGGCAAACACACCACTCTCTTCAGTTCAGTCGCTCAGTCGTGTCCGACTCTTCACGACCCCATGAATCACAGCACGCCAAGCCTCCCTGTCCATCACCAACTCCTGGAGCTTACTCAAACTCATGCCCATCAAGTCGGTGATGCCATCCAGCCATCTCATCCTCTGTTGTCCCTTCTCCTCCTGCCCCCAATCCCTCCCAGCATCAGGGTCTTTTCCAGTGAGTCAACTCTTCGCATGAGGTGGTCAAAGCATTGGAGTTTCAGCTTCAGCATCAGTCATTCCAATGAACACCCAGGACTGATCTCCTTTAGGATGGACTGCTTGGATCTCCTTGCAGCCCAAGGGACTCTCAAGAGTCTTCTCCAACTCTCTTAGGCACCAAGAAAAAGAACACTAGGCCAGAAGGTGATTTTTTCTCATTAACTAGGAAGGATTTTAGGTTAAAAAGTGATTTACTCAGCCTGAACAAGATACTCTAATCTTATCCAAGACCCTGTTGTCCAGGAATACATGTCCAAATTAGTCCAAAAGCTAAAGTCAGAGGAGGTGTTTAACTAATTTTCAACCTTTTTTAACGAGCTGACATAAAATTTACTGAATTAAATCTATTTCAAACATCTATTCCCAGTTCAGTGGCAGAGATTTCCCTTTATATTATTTTATACCTTAATTCTAAACTCTCCTTATTAGTAAGGTGACAATATTTCATACTAAAATGTTGACTTCCAGGTATTTCCGAAAGATGCAAACTAAAACCCAGTGGTTACAATGAATAAAGCCATAATTCAAGGCTGTTAAAGCAATGACTCTTAAATTGTTCCCTAGGATGATATTGGCACAGATAAAAGGGAAAGACACTTAAACACACTTAAAGATAAATAACAGTTTAGAATATTCACATATTATCTGATGTGCATGGCTATCTCACACAATAAACAAACATGCCATATCATAAAGAAACATGCAAATACCTGAAAGAGTGCCACCTGTCCTAGGATAGGCCACTTCAACATACACTTCAAATGTGGTCTCTGGGTTTTGCCTACAAAAGAAACAGACCATGATTACTGACAAGGACTAAGGCAGCATGATACAGAATATGCAGGCTGTGGTACAGGGCAAACCTTAATTAAAATCATTAGCTCTGCAACTTAATGGCCGTGGAACTTTGGACAAGTTACTCAACTTCTCTGAGCCATAGCCTTCCTAATCTATAAAATGAAAATACCTAAGCAGAATTATTATTGTGAAACGTAAAGAAAACAAAAATTGCCTAGATACAATGTCTAGCACATAATAGGTTAGCTATTGTTATGAATTTACAGATGTCATATTTCCCATTTATACAGCTGGGTCTCCAAAACCAAAAGAAAAATTTTGAGGAAATTCAAACCAAGGCAACACTAGCACAATGTAACATGCTTCCCTCATACTCCAGGATAAAATATTCAGGTGATGACATTAACTTGCTTACTTACAGGTGTTAAAGACTCAAGAGAAACAGTATCCTATCTCATTAGGCTATTATGAAGACAGGATGCTAATCTAAAATTTAAGATACTGTTTCCTCACGGGCGGGGCAGGGGAAGGATCTTCCCCTGCATTGGCGATGGCAAGTATATGAATGTTCATTATTATATCCTTTTACCTTTTTATGTCATGAATATTTCATATTAAGTTTTTAAAAGATCACAGCACTAACAAAATGTTAACAGTTGTTCACTCTGAGTGACAAGAACATCGGGGTTATATTATCTTTTTATTTTCTCTTTTCTCTTTGATTCTAAAACTACAATAAAAAGATTATTTCCAGATTGCAAGAAAATCATTTAGCAGAAGAAAATGTTACACATTCAAATGTCTATGACTGAATTCTGTTTTAAACCTGACAAAAAGCTCAGAGAAGAAATTTTGAGTTGCCTAACCAGATCTAAGGGAATTGCCATCAACTAAATACCTTGAATTTGCCCAGCAGATTCCACTTTCCAAAATAACTATCTCATTTACCTCGTTTTATCCTCATTATAATCTTATGAGGTAGGTGGATCAATCATCCTCCTCACCATACAGGTGAGGAATCTAAAGCAGAGAGAGTCTAAACGACTTGGTAGTCTCACAACTAGTTAGAAACACAGCCAGAACTACAACTCAGACCTCCAGGCACTCAAATTCTGGGTTTCATTGATTCTAAGATGAAATTTTTCTCCCTCATTTTCCCATGTTTTACAATCTATTGCATCTTAGAAGTCTAAATGGCAATTTTTCTTTCTTAGTAGTACATATAATAACAGTGCATCTTATAAATAACGGCATCTTGCACTCAATATTGTAATACTCCCTCCAATTCCTCAGGAGTAGTTGCCAATCAGGGATCTACTATTTCTCTTGTGAAGACCCATCATTTCCTCACTGAAGAGAAATTTCAAATGTGCTTTAAATAAGTACCTACAGTGAAAAGAAGTGCCTGCTCTAAAATTCAAGGGATTTAAATATACCTTTGTCAAATATAATTTTTAAATTAGACAATAAATCAGAGTATCTTAACTAAAAGTAAACTCATGTTTTAAGAAAGCTATTTAAAAATGCTTTTGAACTTTCTTTTTCCCCCCTGCAAGAGGGTACAAAAAGACCAACAAGGTCAGCATCCCATGGTCACCAAAACATTTTCGGAAAACACCACATGGAACATCCCTTGATTCAAATGATCTAAAAGTAGAGGGTTTGTTGAAAGAAAGGAATATTCTAAGTTCATCTGAAGAGTACCAAGAAGATTCCCTCTAAAACCTAGAAATATCTTTAAGCCTGTTTTGCAACTGGCTGAATTTCATCTCAGAATTTCATTCCTCTGGATTAAGATAACGGCTTTCAAAGTGTGTTCTGCAGGACCCTAGGACTCCATGGAGATTCCTCAAAGATTCCACGCATTTTTTTAACCCAAATGTCCACTTTTAAGTTTGTTTTTCTCTATTTAAAAAGCTGAAAGGAACAAACATGAGCATGCAAAGGTGTTACATACCAAATTTGTTTTTTTTAACATTGGAGCATTAACTTGTGCCACTAACTTAAGGTGGTTTGTACAGATCTGCTGTCTAACTGAAGAACATTCTAACGTTGTCTAAACTCTATCTCTGCTTCTTCTCCCTTTCTCTTCAACCCTTTAACCAGGCTTCTGAACTCACCACACCACCAAAACAACTTATCATGATCATCAATGTCCTCCCCATTGCTAAAATGTGCCAAAATGGTCAATCTCAAATGCTTGTCTTAACCTCTCAGCAGCATTTGACACAGCTGATTGATTTGCCCTCCTTCTCCAAACACTTTCTTCACATGCCTGCCAGGACATCACTCTCTAGCAGTATTCTTCCTGCCTTACTGGCTGCTCCTTTGCTGATTCCTTCTCAGAGAAACTCTCCTACCCTCAAACTTAGTGCTAGACCTCTTCCTGCCTACACTCATTATCTAAATGATCTCGTTCAGTCTCATGGTATTAATTACCAGGCAAATGCTGATAAGCTCCAAAGTCCTGTCTCCAACCTGACTTCTTCCCTGACCCTAGATTCCCTCATCCAACTGCCTGCTCAACATCCCCATCTGGATCTTTAAGAAGAATTTCTAATTTAACAAATGGCACTTTTCTTCCTCAAACCAGCACTTCCTGATATCCAGTTACGCAGGCAAAAAAAAAAAACAAAACAAAAAACAAAAAACACCAAATCTGGTATCATCCTTCAGTCCTGTTTTATATGCCAAATCAATCAAACAAATTATTTTGATTTAATCATCAAAATATGCCCAGAAACTCAATGAGTCTCAGCATCCCCAACCTACCATCCTTGATAAATCATCAACATTTTACCTCAATTACCGTAATACTTTAACTGGTCTCATTGCCTTCTCCCTACCTTCCTACAGTGAAATTTCAACTCAGTGGCTGATAATCCTTTTATTAATACTTTTTTTTTTAGCAGTCCTCTGCTAAAAACCTACCCAAAACTTCCCATACCATTCAAAGTAAAAACCAAAGTCTTAGTTCTGTAGATAGACGGTGGTAATAGTTGTACAACAACGAGAGTACTGAATATCACTGAACCATACACTTAAAAATGGAAAACAGACTTGTAGGTATGGGGTGGCGGGGCAGGGGAGAGGGTGGGAGGAATACAAAGAGTAGCATGGAAATGTATACACTACCATATGCAAAATAGATCAGTTCAGTTCAGTTCCGTCGCTCAGTCATGTCCGACTTTTTGTGACCCCAGGGACTGCAGCATGCCAGGCCTCCCTGTACATCATCAACTCCCAGAGTTTACTCAAACTCATGTCCATCGAGTGGGTGATGCCATCCAGCCATCTCATCCTCTGTCATCACCTTCTTCTCCTGCCCCCAATCCCTCCCAGCATCAGGGTCTTTTTCAATGAGTCAACTCTTCGTGCGAGGTGGCCAAAGTTTTGGAGTTTCAGCTTCACCATCAGTCCTTTCATGAACATCCAGGACTTAGCTCCTTCAGGATGGACTGCTTGGATCTCCTTGCAGTCCAAGGGACTCTCAAGAGTCTTCTCCAACACCACAGTTCAAAAGCATCAATTTTTCGGCGCTCAGCTCTCTTCACAGTCCAACTCTCACATCCATACATGACCACTGGAAAAACCATAGCCTTGACCAGATGGACCTTTGTTGGCAAAGTAATGTCTCTGCTTTTTAATATGCTATCTAGGTTGGTCATAGCTTTCCTTCCAAGGAGTAAGCGTCTTTTAATTTCATGGCTGCAGTCACCATCTGCACTGATTTTGGACCCAAAAAAATTAAGTCTCATACTGTTTCCACTGTCTCCCCATCTATTTCCCATGAGGTGATGGGACCAGATGCCATGATCTTAGTTTTCTGAATGTTGAGCTTTAAGCCAAATTCTTCACTCTCCTCTTTCACTTTCATCAAGAGACTTTTTAGTTCCTCTTCACTTTCTGCCATGAGGGTGGCAAAATAGATAGCCAGTGGGAATTTGCTACATGACTCAGGGAGCTCAAACAGGTACTCTGTGACAACCCAGAGATGTGGGATAGGGTGCACGGTAGGAGGGAGGGGACATATGTATACCTATAGCTGATTCATGTTGAAGCATGGCAGAAACCAACACAATATTATAAAGTAATTATTCTTTAATTAAAAATAAATTTCTTTAAAAAGAAAATCAAATACAAAAAAAATGCGTTAGGCTGGTAAATTTTATGTTATATGCATTTTATTACAATAAAAAAAATGAGGAGGGAAAAAGTCTTTACAAGGTCCTACATGATCTGGCCTCTGCCTATCTCCAATTTCATTTCAGACTTCTCTCCTCTTGCCCACTGCATTCTAGCCACACTGGCCTTCTGTCTGCCCCTCAACACACCTAATTCATTTCTATCTTGTGGCCTTTTGCACTGATCATCATATAGATGGCTCTTCCTGTCATTCAAAATACAACTTATACGTGACCTCCTCAAAAAGTCTTCCCCAACACACTCTACCATCGAATTGTAATTCTACACATCACGGCAATCACAACCTTGTTTCTCTCCTCTAAATAAAAACTGCAGGAGAGCAGGCATTGTTATCTGTCATACCCACAAGTGTTTCCCAGGTGCCTAAACAGTCCCTGGCACACAGCCAGAATCAAATATTGAAAAGGAATAAAGTACAGACTAGCCTCCCCGGAGTCTAAAAACTTCAATAAATGATAGGAGTACTCAAACTTCAGCACAATAAAAGATGAGATTTCAAGCCCCGTCTCCAGGGTATCTGGGGGCAGGACTCAAGAGTTGGCATTTCTAGTAAGTACCCAGATAATAGTGATGCTACTGAACTAGTGATCACAGCTTAAGAACCACTGATCTAGTTAAATGGAACTCTTCATCTAAATAATTAGTACATACAACATAAAATAAACATAAGGTGTACCTCAATAATCCATTTCAACAGTGCTTTTGCAATAAAAGATTTCAAAGGAAAAAAGTATTTGTGGAAATAATGCAGCTAACTTCTCTTCTACTGTTACCCAT